CTAATTTAACGAATTTATGTATAATTTTAGTGTTATAAACCGGTAAATCATTTTATATATATAGTCTACTTCATTATGTATTTATTGTTTTTTTTTTATGAGGAATTTATTTACTTTAATAAAAATCCTTATTTTTATAAAAAATTTAAATTCTCATTATTTAGTGATTCCAATTAAATATATTTTATTTATAATATCGTGTTTAATGTTTAGCAATTCTAATGTGTTACTTTCAAATTAATAAACGTCAGTAATTAATGAGACACAAATTAAATTATTTGAACACTATAAAAATGAAAATTTTAATATCATGTTTTGGATAATTCTCATATATAAAAGGTTATATTTTCCTATTTTTAATAATAATGACATTTTTAATCTTATATATATATACTCATATATTATTTACTTAATCAAAAATAAATTATTTTAATCTTACATTGTTTACTCAAATTTTAAAGTAAATTTTCCTTTGTATTTTTATTGGAATAAACTTCGTTACTTTATATTTTTTTAGGATAATGTTAAGAGGTACTCCTGGAAAACAAATATAAATTTCATGCTATATTTTAAAATAAATTGTAATGCATTTAAATATAAAAATAAACCGTATGACGTATGTTAAAATAACTGAGAAATATTCAAGTATTTGAAAAATCATTAAAAATATTAAAAGTTCACATTTAACAATTATTATTATTAAAGTATATCACATAATGTATTGAATAGTATTCTTATACTTAAATAAATATCAAAATATATTTCAATACTTTAAAAAATATATAAACCTATAATATATTCACATATATAATAATTAGTTATAATAATGCAATAATTATCATTAAACTCATATGTTTCATGAAAGTATTACATCTATAATAGTCATTATTTTTTCTTACATGCAAATATATTTTTATTGTAATTTCTACATAGTACGTTTTTTATTTGTATACTATAAAAAGGTGCATGCAAAAAAATTTACGTTACATTTTTGATTCTTAAAATTTAGTTAATTATTATGCCTTCATATCAATATTAATGTAAAATTTACTAATTATGTTGCTGATAAAATATATTAAATATAATTAATTAGATAACTTCTGTAATAATTACTATTGTCATAAATAGAATTTAATAATCTTCATTTTTTATTTTTAGTTTCATATATCATTATTTATTTAAAAAAAAATGACTCAAGTAATAAAGATTTTCACTTATTTTATTCTTATCACTTAAATTTTCTTATCATCTCATAGAACTATTATATATTTATGAAAATAAACTTATTAATTAGAGTACTATAATAAATTTTATATGATATTGTCTTTTCTTCTGTTATAATTTCATAAAAAATTTTAATTTAAATATCATTCATTTTATAATTGTTAACCATAATATTTGAAAATACACGCAATCCTTATTTTCATTTTTGTTTCATATCTTTTCTTTTTTTGATATAAATTTTTTTCGCTTTTATTCTTTTTTTGTTTTAACTTTTTTTTATACCTTTCACATTTTAACATTTTTTTTTTCCATATTTTTACAGAATAATAATGATTTTTTCATTACAATTAAAATTATTAATATTTATAAAAAAAACATCTGCATGCAAAAAACTGAATTTTTGTTATAAATTTTTTTTTTGTTATACCCTTTTGACGTATAATAACTCTTTTAAAATATTACTAATAAATATGAAGAACATCAATATGAAAGCAATTTTTTTAAAATTTGTAAAGAATCAAATAGTTACAATAGAGAATTAAAAAATTTTTTTTTTTCTGTAAGTTTAAAAAAAAATTTTTTTCTGGCAAAATTTAAATTCTTATGTAATAAAGTGATTCTTTCAGAAATTACACATTTGTATTTATATTAAAAAATATAGCATTTAAAAGATACGTATATTAACTCTCTTATTAATTTTCAAATAATGAAAAAAATTAAAAAATTAGTTTTTATTATATGAATTTTTTTTATAATGCATTATTCTTCCCTTTGAAACTAACTTTAAAAGTGTTATAAAAAGAAGTATTTTTACAGATTAATTATACATATTTAATAAATTAAAATTATATGTTCGTTGTAAAAAAAAAATAATTATTTAATTAGATAAATATTAAAATTTTAGATATATGTAGTTTATTTAATTTTACAAGAAAAAATATTAATTATGTCTAAATATTAATATAGTATGGTTATTTATATTCATTAACATATGTTAAAGAATTCTTATTAAATATTTTGTTATGAACTCTTGAATGTATCAATTTTTTACAATAAATATTTCCAACATGATATTTACATGATAATTTTAGTAAAATAAAAATGAGTTTAAAGTCTCGTGGTATAATTTATAGATTTGATGACAAAAAGAATTATTATTTAGGCTCTATATCTGATGGTGGTACTTTTTATTATGATGAGAAATATACGAGATCATATTACGTTGACAAAAATGTAATTTTAGTCATTGGAATTTTATTTATCATTTGGTTTTTTTATTCAATATTTGCGATATGTGTATTGAGAAATCAAGTAGTAAAATATTTTAGGAATATATTATATTCACTTTTTTAATGAAATATTTAAATAATAATTCTTATAAATATAAAAATAATTTATTTTACATTAATTTTTATTTGTATAGCGAGCTCGAAGGCAAAGGATATTAAATAACATAATGCTTGAAGTAATGTCTATAGATTCAGGATATTGGGAAGATAACAATGAAGAATTAGAACAGGGAGCAGTAGATATATTAAATGAGTGATTTATTAACTGGGTGCTCCGTGACTTCACTAGAGTAGTGAACGGAAAAAATGATAAAGAGCATGAAGAGGTGTTTCTACGATTTTGCTGTATTTATATATGTTCTTAAATGCTTTGAACGAATGATTCTTAATTATGTGCTCTATATCATTCAGCATTCTTTAATTTCAATAGGAATTTATTTACTTTAATTAATATCCCTATTTTTAATAAAAATTTAAATCCTTATTGAATATTGACTATTAATTAAAAGTAAATTACTTATTTCTTTT